AGTGTCACGACGGCCGCCTTTACTTTCTAGGACTGCAACTGGTACCCACTCAAGGCTGGGTCGACCTGGGAGTCAGGGTAATTTTTGAAAAAAGCCTGGCTCCGTCAGATGCGTACCCACGATCTTCCGATCCGCAGGCTGGCGTCTAGTTGCCAACATCACAGTGACTCACAAAAAGAGCAAGGAAAAGGCAAAAAGATAAATACCTGAATGGCTTGGCCATAAGGATAGGACAAGACGAGCAGTGGCCTAATCAGTGAATCTGGTGAGATGGTGGAAAATGACCACCTTTGCACATCCGCAGGGCTTATGATGATGAATGTGCAATATCTGTGCTAGGTCTGAAGGAGCCACGCAAGTGCTGCTGGATTCCATAAGAGAAGCAAAGAACATAAATGGGAAATGTGGCTAAGAATTGGCTACCTCATCCCACATAATACGGAAGGATATGGCAACTAACAAAAGAAGCTGACATAAACTAGCTGTAAACCACAACACAATGTGCAAACTGTTCTTTTAAAGGTGTATGAAGAAGATGACGATATGACAGGGTTGAACAGCAAAGCTTCACTAAAAGACAAAAGGCAGAAAAAACATAAAATTTAAATGTCAGTATCATTACACAGAGCAAAGCAATAATGTTAAAAATCCAGAAATGTGTTATTTTTGTCTCATGCAATGCTTTTCAAAAAAGAAAATGTATACAAATTACAGATAAAATATAATTAAAAGATGTCCCAATTAAAATTTTTAATATCATGTATACACACCCCTCCCCTCCACTTTTATCCTAAAAATGTATTTATCACCTATGCTGTTTAGTAAATTCTGCTATAAGTTCATTAATTCAAAACAGAATAATTTTCAGCATAAATAACACGTGGAAAAACTATATACAAGATTTACAGAAAAATAGTTTGAACAAAATATGGCAATAAGTTTTAGATGGCATTGACATTAATGGTAATATACAGCAGAAGCAGAGCAAGAGACACGGCAAGCAAATTACAGACTGACTGTAATAGCCAAAGCAATGAAAATTCATTTGACACAGACCACAAAAAGGGTCTGACTTGAAAGCTTCTTCTCTTCTAACCTGATGCATTATTCTATAAAAACTGATCTCTGAAGCCTCAGGGAAACGTTTTTGCTAATTTACTAATGATTGAGAATTCAGTCATATATATGTTAAAACTAGTTCTACGTCATTATCCTCGTGTAGAAGGTCCAGGGGGTTGAAACCTATGATCAGTGAGTAGACAGGCAAGCATGTTTCTATTACGTCACTGCGGCCACTAAATAAGTAAAACAAATAAAAATTAATCATTTTTTTACGTCTAATTCTGCAACTCAAAAAGTTTGCTTGCTAGTAAGGGATACAAATGAAACAAAGAAATAGGTGCTTTCACTCCCAGAAAACTGGCTTTTCCAGGGCATAAGTGTTAAGGACAAAATGCAGAAGAAGAAAAAGTACGAGGTTACTTTGCTGGCTACTGATGAAAGGGACAGAGAACATGTGAGAATTTCGTGACTGCAGTGATGTATTCTTTATTAATTTACTCATTCATTCATTCACTGAGCAAAAGAAATGCTGATTTACAACGTATACTCTGCTAAAACAATATGCCACTGGTAGATGTCATCCTTTCCTACAGATTTCACCATTTGCCTAAACAAAGTTATTCCTGTTATTATTTACATTATATGTGCACTGCATCCCCTCTTAAAATACATGATAAAATATAAACAATTCAATTGCTATGCACCAACACAATTGCACTTACTCTATAAAAATGTGTGGCAACAAACACAATTTTCATAATAACAGCAACAAAGACGACACACCACTGACACAATACATTATTTTATTTAACACATTATCAAAAGCCATCACTAGACTGACTACCTTCTTTTGCTACTACACAAGGACATTTTATAATGACCAGCTTTGAAAACTTGTGCAACCCTTTAACTTGTTTAAAAATGTGTGCCATCTCCACGGTGAAGGTAGGCTGCAGTGTATTCTCTTCAGTCTCTAGGAATATTACTTGGTGAGACCTCAGGCTCCTTCACACTGGCACTCTTATAAGGTAAAAGTAAAAAAGGACTCTTTTCCATGCTTTCAGGCGTATTGGGCACATAGGGCTAAGCTTGCATTTTATTGACCAATTGGCACTTAGTGGGTAATGTGGTCAGTATCATACTGGCCACCTTCACTTCATAGGACTGCAAGTGGTACCCAGTCAAGTCTGGGTCGACCTGGGAGAAAAGGTTATAGTTTTAGACTTTCCGGTCCACAGGCAAGCCTCTAGCTGCTACACCACTGTAGCTCCCTGCCACTTTTATACGACTGTCTAAATGCCACAAAAGCAGGTTTTTTAAAAACCATCTGCCGTGGAAACAACTTTGATATGCCAATGACTGGATTTTGAATCAGTTTCACCAGCTTCTAATTCTAAACCGAGAGAGCTGCACAACACTTCTATAAGGCCAGGCTAATTTGTATTCTTTTTCATACTTGTGGTTTTGTAGATTTATGTAAAGTGCTGATGAAGGTTCTTTACCAGTAACTTGTTGCCTGTGTTTATGATATTGTGAAGCTAATTGGGTCTACTTTTTGTCTGGTCTGACATCTTTTCATGATAATTTCAGTGGAAAACTAATTCTTCAGAGAATTGTGTTTGTTTACAATTATGGAATGTCTTCAATGACCCATCAGTTCACAAACATGTTGATGAAACAAGTTATTTCTTGCGCACATGAAATGTAACAGATAATGAGCAAATGGACACCATCGTGGCTCTTCTCGATGCGATCAACATGTCAGAATATATTTCAACAACTAATTCTAAAGCAAGTCATTTATCCACAACTTTACAACTAACATGTCTCACTAAATGACTGTACCTTTCCAAGAATCAAGTTCTCTTGCTCAATCATTAGCTGGTGTGGGTAACCATGATTTTCCTAATCTCCAACAAAATTAAAAACTGGCGTGAACACCACAGTACAATCTCTAACCTGCGTGGGCAACCCATCTCTTTTTTATTCTCTAGCATAAACATTAACCTGTGTGGGTAACTATGTTTTTCTTAATCTTCAACAAAATCATAAACTAGTGTGAACACCACAGTACAATCTCTAACCTGTGTGGGCAACCATCTCTGTCTTATTCTCTAGCACAATCATTAACCAGTGTGGCTAATCATGTTTTTTCCTAACCCCCAACAAAATCATAAACTGGTTTGAACACCACAGTACAATCTCAAACCTGTGTGATTAACCATCTCTTTCTCTTGCACAATCACTAACAGGTGTGGAAACCACAGCACAATCACTAACTGGTAGCTAAGCCTTTCTATATTTCCTATTCTCTCCTTTAATCACTAAATGGTGTGGGCAACCAAGTCTTTCCCATTCTCTATCAGTCACTAACTTGTGCCAGCAACTGTCTTTTCGCAATTCATATTCTCAAGCACAATGTGTGTAAATACATTTTTCTGGCCAAAAGGTTATAACACTGAGTTCTCATGCGGGCGACCCAGATTCTAATCCCTGGTATGGTTGGGGATTTTCCCAGTCAAAGGCAAAAATATAATCCTAACCTGCACAGTCCATGATGACAGGACTAGCTATTTTACTTAGTCACTCCTCTTCTACCCTGGGTTGTGGAGTTTTGCCAGATGTCTCGATCAGCCGTTCTCTTTCTGGCTTTGTTTTATTTCAGTCGGGGACTGTCAGATGTTGTCTTCGCAGCGGACCCTAGGTGGCCCTGGAGGTCTGGATCCCTGGTTCTTAGCCTCCCATGCCTGCCGATTTTCTCCTAATCTACATACATGTCCAAACCATCATAAATATGGCTGATCCACTCGAGTTTGTAAGGCCTGGGTTTTAAGATCCTAACGTATTGTCCGATCCCGGACTTTATCCATTCTTCTCAACTGGACCACCTTTCTCAGATATCTCATTTCTCAGGCCTGAAGCTGGCTTCTGTGAGCTGTTGTCACTTCCCATGACTCACACACGTAGGTCAGGACTGGTACATAGGCTGAGCAGTAAACAGCCATTTTCATCCTTTTGACAATTTCTCTTTCGCTAAGAAACCCTTGGTTTATGGCCTGGAAAAGTCTCCTAGCTATGGTTTTTCAGCATTAGCAATGCAGCCCTAGATTCTCAGGCTCACAGTCCCCCTCCCCCTAACAGTGGTAAACATAGGCAGCCAAAACGGTTGTGATTCTTTTCTACATCTGCAATTAGTTATTTATGACTTGATCTCTTTAAAACCACAAGTGACATTCCAAATATATTGGTCATGCAGACTAATCAAGAATGATAATTCACCTTCTACAGAGAAGGATAAGTATTTATTTATGCAAAGGTTTAACTCATTATATGCTATTAATTTTTTTTAAATGAGTGCCAACTTAGAACTTCATAAAAGGCACTTCTAAAAACTGAACAATAACTAAGATCTTTACCTAAAAGACATAACTGCTCATATTTTAAAAAAATCCACCATCTGAAATTCATTTTACAAGATGACTCTCTCCCAACAACATTGCCAATATCATATACATGTAAATAACATAGTATGTACAGAACAAATAAAAGTTAGATATGACAAAATAATGCCATTTTCAGTCGTTAATAAAATCAACAGGAGTATGAATTTTAAAAAAATGAAAAGAATACTTTTTATTATCTCAGTACCAAGCAGTGCCAAATATGTGACTAACTCATTCCTTGGAATGCAAACCAGCGTGTAAAGTGCTTTCGTAACTTTGTTAGATTGTTTTTTTTCCCATTTAGTCCTATGATTTTCAAGAAATCTGGTTTCTCTAGTTGCCATTTCCAATGTACACTTGGCCTTTAATAGTAAATCGCTCATTATCTTTATTATCAATATTTACCCAGACTTCTTTTTTTTTAAAACAGAACCTTAGGGACTTAATAGCTAAATAGTGATATGGTTAAATATTTTTACCCAAACAATGTTCTGGTTACGAACTCTTGGGAGGTGTTGATGATGGTGAAATGAGATCAAACTGAAGTGAGGTGTCAATCATTTTTAATCTCACTTTACGTATTTTTCTGGGCCTGTCTGTCAACCCACGTGGGCAGTCCATGGGCTGTCCCAAAGAACTGTCTTGTTTCGCACCACATTTTGTTAACAAGTTTTTACTTATCCTCTTACTGTTACTACCAGAAATGTCAGGGGGTTCAGAAGACATAACTTCATTCTGAGACACACTTGAAGCTGACAGTGCAGTTGAGACGAGATGATTTTGAATCTATGGCATGCTCGCTCTCGTCTTCATCGCCATCCCATTTGAACTGCAGGTTGGAATTAGGACAGTGTGCATTTTCTGCACAAATCTGTTTCTTGAGTTCAGGGTCCCGTTTCATCTTAAAAATAATTTTAGGCTGACGCTGATTCTGGCATGCCTTTTCACTGTCATCCATGCTGAAAAGTAAACTACGTCTTGAAAGTCCTTCACCTTCTCCTTGATATAATTTGAGTGACTGTTTGTCTAATTTAGGTAAAAAAACAACCTTGCCTGTCCTCACATCAGTAGAACAACCATCATTTGTCACAGTAAAACAATCTTTCTTTAACAGTGGTGGAGTGCCAAATTCATCTGTACTATTTAAACGCTGATGTCTGAGTTGACGTGTATCAGAAAATAAATCCTTTTCAATTAAAGAATATTTCTGAAAGCTGAATGGTCTGCTTATGGCCACTATCAAGATGATCTTCACTTGTAGACTTTGATCTGAAACGAGAAATATGGGGTCCCGGATAGAACCTGCCAATAAATTAGAAAAGACAGTACTCTCTTCTGATGAAGACCTGCGGGAAACAGACGGCGATATGATAGGTGCTTCTGGTTCTAGCACTGGAGGATCTCTGAAGTTCTGGCTGCTGTTTTCTGTGAGCGAACTCTCCATTACAAGGTCAGTAAGTTGCTGTGCAAAAGTTGAAGCCTTAGCAACAAGAGAATTTAACTCCTGTGCCAAATGCACTGCTCTCTCATGTTTCCCAGACAAAAAAGCTTTAGTATCTGTGAATGGGACGCTCTGTACACCATGCAATCGTGGGCTCTGCCTGACAGGGGTCATAGCTTCCTTCTGTAGGAGCTTCACAGGAGTCATACATTCCTTCATCTCCAGTGGGGATGGACTTTCCTCAGGGATGATAAGAGGCGGGATGCTACTTTCTGAAGTACCTGCAAAGTACTGCTCATCACTTCTAGTTGAACATGTGTTTTTGTTGCTGTTATACTTTTTATGTACTTTCTGACGAGGAGAATTGTCTAAAAAATCTGACAAATTGTTACTACGAAGCTCTGCATCGGTATATTCATAACCATCATCGACAATGAGATCAGATAAAGACTCATTTTTAACCTTCTTGTCTGGTGGATTAGAGATAGAGAGGTCAGTGGTAATTTTCTGCTTTGAAAAGTCATCCAAACCAAGTTTATTACTGCTGCACTCACTATCAGAATCAGCAGGTTCCTGTTTTATGTGAATATTTTCGGGCAACATGGGCTCCTCTTTAACCTTCAAGTCTGGCTTCTTTCTTGTAGTTGTCTTTTTAACACGACCTCTAGTTCTGTTACGACAAGGTGATTTTTTACTACATATTACATTTGAATGGCGTTTATTACTAGAATTTTCATTTAGGGAATCAGAGGTTTCCGCTATTCCTGGTAGTGGACTTCCAGTTAATTCCTGCTTCTTGCTAGATGACGCTGAGCTGCGCAGAAACTTTGCCTCTGAGCTTTTACTTTTATCACTGCTGACAGGATCATGTGACCTATCCCCAACCACAGGTTCTGGTAGGGGCAGGCCACTGGAAATAATAATCTCTGCATCATAGCGGGTAATTCCCCTTCGCTTCAACTCTGCTGGTGTCAGAAGGTGAGACTGTGATTCCATATTTTTTGCACGACTGTCCCATGATTCTGAAAAAAATAAATTTAAAAATAATACCAGTGTATCTGTAAGAATATTTATATATATTTGTCTATGTGTGTGTATATATATATATATACACACACAAATATATATAATATATCAAATGTCACGAGGCATTCTACAAACATGCCCAGCCACTCCATCCTCTTCCTTTGATAACTGCCAGCGAAGAACATTTTGTTTTAGTACTTATTTCTTCACTTGTTATCTTGTTTGGCTAAAATATTTACGGGATTCTCCTTAGCAACCTAAAGTAGGCAGCAGGAAATTTTGCGGGAAGTAAAAGGCCAGAATGTGAGTTTCTGACCCTATCACCCATCGATTTATTAAAAATATGAGTCTAGTAACATGTGCCCAATGTGTGGAGCGGCGATTATGATCACAGGTGTGAGGGAATGATAAAGCCACTGTGATGTGCATAAGGATATACTCTGTACCTAATCATGGGCGCCAGCCGGCTCTGTGCTGGTTTTATGGATCTCCATGCAAGACTTTTGCCACATGTCCTCATCACATACTACAGATAATTGCCGTTATCTGCCAAAATCAAGAATTCAAGGAATCTTGCAGTTAGTGTTCCACAGAGATGAAGTGCCCAGATATTGTCTTGCATTCGCTAGCTCACTCTAGCATTCGTTAGCCCACTTCCCTTTGCATGGTTGATAATGTATACTGAAAACTCACGTTAATGAAGTCCACTGGTCGAGTACCTTACTAAATGACAAACACAGATTCAAATGTTATGTCGTCCAAAAGTCCTATTATATGATAACCTTGGTTCAAACCTTGGTTGAAATGTCTGTCAAAGGAGACTCCTACTGTATGGCTGCTTAGGTTCAAATGTGTATGACTGCATAGGTTCAGATTTAAATGTCTATCCACAAAATGACCTACTATATGACAGCAAAGGTTCATATGTTATTCGCTCAAAGATCCTATTTTATGACACAAATGTTCATCCACTACTAATAGCCATACACAATGAAGTGTAATGACCATATGATGTATGTTTTACATATATGATGCAAAAAGGGTCCCAGGACATCCTAAAGTGAAAGGTGCCATTGTCGAAATGAGAAGTCTAACATGCTGAGGAAGTGAGATGCCCCATGGTGCAGGGAATCTGAGTCTTAAGATCTGCAGATTGCTTCCTGGGGATCCATAAAGGGCGCAGCCCTTAATGAGGGGAAGGCCAAACATACAGATGAGAAGTTAGGCAGTCATGTGCAGGACAGGACGATTCCCTGGGTGAGCCCAGTACCAAAGCGCCATGTAAAGGCTCTGTATTTATAGAAACCTCCTTGGATGGCAGAGAATGCCCATGCTCTCTACCCCTGCCTTTTTTTTTTTAGGTCTACCAGTGTGCACACAGCTGACCTGGATGGGTCCTCTATGCACAACACCTGTGAATCAGGAGACAATTATGAAGTTCCCACATATCTGAGGCTACATATGTCTCATGAAACTAACCAAGAAGGCTACAAAGGCATTACAAATGCCTGAAGAAATCAGGGGTTCCAGCCAAAAGGTACAAATACAGCAGTTATGCTGTAAACAAAGTGCAATTACGTCTCTCAGAAGAAAAATGAAGAAGAATATGCCCAATGTGGCAAAGAGATGAGAAGGTTCCATTATTTATATTTCTGGGGGGAAAGGGCTTGGTATGAGTTTCTTTTATGGAAGAGTAAAGATAGAAGTAGAATATTTTTAATTATCACAGATCAGTAGTCTCGTTACCTTCCCCAAACGACCAAGCCTTTCAGGTTATTTTATCCCGGCTGTGGTCAAAGTACACTGGGCATTCCCATGAGTGCTTAGTACTCCAATGCAGCAGCTCCATAGGCTGCCTTTGCAGTTTTCTCAACCATGTTCAGAGAGTCTGAGCTTGTTCGGCTGCTCATATAAGTGCTCTGGAAGCAACTGTTATCTCCATGGTCATGCCTGACGTAGTTCTATTGTTTTCCCCCATCATCTGCCATACAGGTATTTATCTCTGTCTTCCCCTTGCTCTTTCTCCTTACTTGAAAACTGTAACCATTCCTTCTCGTAACATGTCAACAAAATATACTTATTGAATTAGTTAGTTAGTTAGTCTTTCCTCTTGTGTCGAGTGCGGCACATAGGGCAGAGGTCGTGACTCTCCATGCACGGCGGTCCGTTGCAATCCGTTGTAGGTCTTGGATGTTTGAGTGGCACATGAGCGAGCCTTCCCTGATGATAGTTCTACGTAGGGTTTCCCTTGACTTATTGAATTGAGTGACGCAAAATGAAACATACCATTAGATGTAGGTACCACAGTGAACGCTGGCTGGCTTTCTGCTGACTTTGCTTTCAGTCTATTTATTCTGTCGTCTGTGTCCCTAAAACAATAACCTTTCTGAGATGACAGGCTGATTGGCTGTTTTGGTTTAAATGCTCCTTTACGTCGTCTGCAGAACAAATGAAAAAATTTCATTCTTGTTTACATCGTCTGCAGAAAAAGAAAAAGAAAACTAAATTTCTTTTTTTTTTAATTACTAATCAACTCACAGTGGAATTACTGGATAATTCTTTACATATGGTTTCATTATCCCAATTTTTTTAAAATTAATTTATTACATTCTGTAGCTTTTTCTTAGCATTCACCTGGCTGTAAGCTCTGATGGAAAGATCTGGTTGCTTGTCCACCTCTAGCCAATCCACTTCCGGCGAATAATTCTGGTTGTTCATACATTTCAGCACTTTGGTCTTGTTCCAGAACTTGAGTTTTGGCATTCATTTTACAGATCTGACTTAATTGTGTGCAGATTGTTCCTTCCCTCTCAGGCAGATGTACTCCGACTTCGAAGGAAGCTCCCAGTTAGTCGACTCTTAACGACATGCTTTTGGGTAGGCAGTGGACCTATTCTTTTTTTTTTCTTCCTCTCCCAAAATGAAGCCTTGGAATCCACATGAGGATTTTTCAAATATAAATACTTTTAACTTTTTCCTTCACAAACATTATATTTGCATATATTACATTCCTCCTCACCTTTCACATGTCACACATTCACAAAGTTAACTTTTCCATCAAAAACATTATACTTCTCCTTACCTTTCACATGTCACACATTCACAGAGTTTATTATTGTCACCAAAGAAGTCCTCTCCATAGAAGCAAGTGATCTCCTCATTGGGTTCTATGTTTCGTAAGACTTTAACACAGGCAGTGTTTCTACCAGTTGATACAAACTGCAAAATTAAGCCAGTAACAAAAACAAAATTCAAATTTAATGCCACAAATAAGACATGAAATTGTCAACAACAACACAAAATTTAAAATAAAGCAATATATGATGACAAATGAAATAAAAGGTAAATGGTTTCAAGAACAACCAAAAACAAGTACATTTATTTGTCTTCTGCTCTTGTCCTCAAAAGGATGTTTGGCACATTGTGTTGTGGTTTACAGAAAGCTGCAATATCTGTGTCTTTCAGCCCAACATAGGACTGGTGTACATAATCACAGAATAACATACTACCATTAGTTGATCATGTTCAGGCTAAACACTGGCTATTAAATAACAAACTACATTTATTCAACAAACTAAATTGTAAAGAAGAGTCTGGGTGAATGGGAAAGGCTATCAATGGAAAGACTGTCAGCTCCTTGAGAACCCTGTGTGGGTTTCGGGGCCCTATTATAGGGAAAACAAGAATAGACCCACTGCCTACCCAAAGCATGACGTAAGAGTGGACTAATTGGGAGCTTCCTTCAAAGTCGGAGTGCATCTGCCTGAGAGGCAAGGAACCAGCAGTCTGCATACAAATGAGTCAGATCTGTCAAACGGATGCACACGCAACACTCAGGTTCTGGAACAGGACTGCCGTCCAGAAGTGGATGAACAACCAGAACTTTCTGCCAGAGTTTACAGCTGGTGAACGAGAAGAAGAAGAAACAACTCCTTGAGAGGTTCCGAGCAAAAACATGGCTGCAGTCAACTACAGAAACTCTGACTGGTGCACAAGAAGAATAGACAATGACATTACACATTCCCTGTGTGGTATCCTAGAGCCTATTGGGAGGAGGTGGGGGGGGGGGGGGGGGGTGGAATAGACCCCCTGCTCCACCAAGAAGTATGTCATAAAAAGCGACTAATAAGGGGTATTTCGTTCAAAGAGTGCATCTTCCTGAGAGACGAGGAACCAACAGTCTGCAAACAAACCGGCTAAAACTACTGCAGAAGGTTCTGGTTGTTCATTCAGTTCTGGGCTGTAGTCTTCTTCCAGAATTTGAGTTTTGCAGGCAAATCTGCTTCACAGATCTGGATTAAATTTATGCAAACTGTTGGTTTCTTGCCTCTTATCATATGCACTCCAACTTCGAAAAATAAACCCCTAATTAATTAACTCTTACAACATGATTTTTTTTATTATGACAATGGTTCTATTATTCCCCCCCCCCCCCCCCAATGTAGCCAGGAACCCACACAGGGAGGAACAGGACCAATGTCCAGATGCGGATGAACAACCATGACTGTTCCTCAGTTTATACCCGGTGAATGCAAAGGAGAAGAAGACAATCACATATGTTGCTTTGACTGGTATACATAAAGAACAGCCAGTGATAAGTGACACACTGACTGGTATACATAAAGAACAGCCAGTGATAAGTGACACACTGACTGGTACACCTAAAAACAGCCAGTCACACATGACACACTGACTGGTATACCTAAAAACAGCCAGTCATATGTGACACAATGACTGGTATACATAAAGAACAGCCAGTCATAAGTGACACAATGACTGGTATACATAAAGTACAGCCAGTCTTAAGTGACACACTGACTGGTATACATAAAGAACAGCTAGTCATAAGTGACACACTGACTGGTATACATGAAGAACAGCCAGTCATACATGACACACAGACTGGTATACATGAAGAACAGCCAGTCATATATGACACACAGACTGGTATTCATGAAGAACAGCCAGTCATACATGACACATTGACTGGTATACATAAAGAACAGCCAGTCATAAGTGACACAATGACTGGTATACATGAAGAACAGCCAGTCATATATGACACACAGACTGGTATACATGAAGAACAGCCAGTCATACATGACACATTGACTGGTATACATGAAGAACAGCCAGTCATAAGTGACACAATGACTGGTATACATAAAGAACAGCCAGTCATAAGTGACACAATGACTGGTATACATGAAGAACAGCCAGTCATAAGTGACACAATGACTGGTATACATAAAGAACAGCCAGTCATACATGACACACAGACTGGTATACATAAAAATAAGCCAGTCACATGTGACACACAGACTGGTATACATTAAGAACAGACAGTCACATGTGACACACAGACAGGTATACATGAAAAACAGCCAGTCACACACGACACAATGACCGGTATACACAAAGAACAGCCAGTCATACATGACACACTGACTGGTATACACGAAGAACAGCCAGCCATACATGACATACCGACTGGCATACATGGAAAATAAGCAAACATAAATGATACTGACTGGCAGACAAGAACAATAGCCAATCACATACTCAAAACTGACTAACACCCACACAAAAACAGCCACTCAAAAATTATACAGGTGACTAGTACACATGGGGAATGGGCAATCCAAATGACACACTAACTGGCATACATTAACAACAGCCAGTTAGTCACACTGACTAGCAGACAAGAATAACAGCCAGTCACATCTGTTATACTGACTAGTACACACAAAGCCCGTCACACTGACTAGCAGACAAGAATAACAGCCAGTCACATCTGTTATACTGACTAGTACACACAAAGCCCGTCACACATGACTAGCAGACAAGAATAACAGCCAGTCACATCTGTTATACTGACTAGTACACACAAAGCCTGCCACACATGACTAGCAGACAAGAATAACAGCCAGTCACATCTGTTATACTGACTAGTACACACAAAGCCTGCCACACATGACTAGCAGACAAGAATAACAGCCAGTCACATCTGTTATACTGACTAGTACACACAAAGCCCGTCACACATGACATGCTGACTAGTGTGCATAATCAAACTGCCAGTCACACATGATACGTTGCTGTGTATACAAAGAGATCAATTAAGGCTGTATCATGATGTCATGAAGCACATCCACATACTTTGCAATTTGGCCTGCAGTCGTGGTTGATGAAGGCAGCTGGTCCAAGCCAAAGTTGGGCACAGTTTTTCCTACAAGAATACATGACGCTGAAATCATTTTCTCCTGTCTTGAGTAGCTGACTCTCCTCTTCCGCTGTGAGTTCAGCGATACAGCCCACAAGCATTTCTATCTTGTCATGCTTACCCCTAGAATCATACATTTTCATTTATTATTCAAGGTAAATGATACATTTTCATTTATTATTCAAGGTAAATGATACATTTTCATTTATTATTCAATGTAAATGATACATTCTTTGCTGCTTAACCCTTTCGCTGCTACGTTCCCGGAAATAGTTGTCCTCCCTGTGCTAAGCAATGTGAAAAAAAAAGTCTCTGCTGTGAGCAATACTTTTCTATCCTCTAAACGCAAAAGATGCGTCCGCGGTGAGGGCTATGTTTTGTTCACCTAAAAAATTTTACCCTGGGGAGTTGTGTGGTTGGTCCGAGTGGTGACAAGTCAGAGGCACGATGGTGCCCCACAAACTTGACTAACGGGGGGGGGGGGGGAGATTAATGGGAGGAACTGTTCCCAGTCCGTATCCCAAAATTTGATTGACGAACCTACCACGGCTGCCACTTTAATCATATTTACTTGTAGTCACCATGTTATTACATACCAAAATAATTTAAAAAAAAATATTCATAATAATATACTCAAGTCGTCCGTTGCTGAAAAGTAGCAGGAACTCAAAGGAAAATTTACAATTAATAAAAAAAAAAAAAAACTTCAGGGGTTGAACACACGACCCTCTGATTCTATGACGAACGTGATGCCAATTACACTATGCTACCGCTTGACGCATTGCGCTGTGTAAATGATCATAATGAACGATGTGCGCAGACTATCAATAATGTGTCTAAGTTTGTAGTCTATCGCCGCCTGCATGAGCACTCAACAATAGTAAAAATATGTCCCTCGACATTATTTTACGGGAGTTTTTAGCAAACAGTCTTTGCTCAAGTACTCTATTTTGAGTTTCTTTGTTCTAAGCATTAGCAGACAGACAGAAAAAAAAATTAGTTCGTCCGAATCTGTGTCTGTCCATCGGGAAAGACGAGAAATTTTTGTGACTTAACTGTTTGAATTTACAGTAGCAGAAATACAGATAGAGCTGGAGTCATCAAAATCATGCACTACTGGTTTCAAATCATCGGTTCATCAAGACAACTGATCAATTTATTGCCGTTTTGATGGCGCTTCATTGTCGCTGCTCTCTGATTCCGACGATGAGGACGTCGGACAGGCAAACAGCTTTTTTTGGACACGCCGGTTTCAGCAGTCGAAACTGATGGCCTAGTTAAATCTTCTTGTTCACTGTCAGAAGTACACATTTCAAAGTCGTCGTCGCTATCACTTTTGACAGAAACTCCATCAATTCTTTATCAACTTTAACAAGTTTTCATGCCATTTTGTACTAAGTGTAGAATAATCCAAAAGCACAAATATATATCAGGGCACAAAATACACAGATCACCGACCACGCTGTCACGGTAAACAAAGCAACGGGATAACGCAGAATGCAGTAAACACGCCTTAAACACACCTAAAAGTACGTGCCAGTGTTTTTAATCATATGTAAATGGGTCAGTTTAATCTAAATATAGCTAATGTATATTGCCCTTCAGCCAATAAAATACGAGGTAACAGAAATCTGTAAGAAAAGCCAAAAAACGGCTTGGGACGTCCATAGCACTGGGGGTCAAGAAAAAAAATAACGTCCAAAGACAAGCGTAGCAGCGTACAGGAAATCGGGAAAAGACGTCCATAGCAGCGAAAGGGTTAATTTACTGTGGCCTTATAGCTTAACTCTTCTGGTACCAGGCGTTTGTTTTAATAACTCATTCTCCTTTAGTTGTCATCCACTTCTGACACAATAAAATGTTGTTACTAAACTCCCTTCTATCTTCTGCTACTTGTTATGTTAACTGTTATCAGCCAGAGATCCAGTACACTTTTACTGATAATTGCCTAAGAGAACATTATGTGATATTTTCCATAACGAATGCAACTCATGGATCATTGTGCTGTCCAGAAAGAGTTAATCTGATCTTTGGTACTCATCACACTAAAAGCTCACGAGCATGCTCACAATGAGTGTACTTCAGGAAATTACTACGTCATTACTAATCTCTGTACCTCAACTACAACTTCTTTTGTTAATTTCTGCTTCTTTTGTTAATATCTGTTTTATGCCAACGTTTAAAAGATAATTTTCTTCTTTTTCTTTGTTCCCCGGCTGTAAGTTCCTGCTGAAAGTTCTAGTTGTTTGTCTATTTAGACTTTAGTGCCAGGGCCTAAATTTGCGTGTACATCCCTTTTTTATAGTTGGTTGTTCCTTGCCACTCGGCAGATGCACATCGACTTATCAATTGGTTGACTTTTATGACATGCTTGTTGGAGAGTCAGCGGGTCTATTCTTGTTTTCCCCATAATGGGGTCCCAAAACCGACAAAGGGATAACAGATAATCAATAGCCAAGCCTGACACGTTCGATTATTTGGTACACTGTGATGATGATATTAAATCTCAGGGTGTCAGTGGTTTCTTCAAACCACCGCCTTCTGAATTTCTGTCTGCCTTTTGACGTTTCCATTTACATGTTGTCCGCTGCCCCCCTCTTTAGACTCACTCTTATTAGGTGGCGAAACCATGTCAGTCAGTTTCTCAGTGAATTAAAAATAGGTACTGTTTCAACAGTTTTTATTTCTTCTATACCCACACAATCTCTTCTGGTTTTGTCCACAGTCTTTCTCAAACATGCTATTTAACAAGTGGTTAGTTTTGTGTTTTTTGGTTAATGCCCAAGCCTGTTACGATAAAGATTGATTTGTAATTTGTCTTTTTAATCTTTGCTGGGATGGCCAGGTGTTTTAAAATAGTGGTAAGCTGATACATAATGCTGTTTGGCTGGTTGTTTCTATCTCTCTGTCGTTTCTACCTTCCTTTGCAAAGATGCTCACCAAGTATTTACATTCCTGCATTTTGTTTTTAATATCCAGAAACCATGAGTTGTAAAACCTTTGGCTCTGTACTATGGATACCGCAACCCTTCAACCTTGATTCTATGATAGATACCCTAAATCTTGGAGAAATATGGCTTTTCTGCCTGCCCCCAGGCGTGAACCCGGACCACAAGGAATTCGTTACCCAGTCAGGTTTAACCAACTGAGCTAGCGAGTTGGGCATGTACTTTCAAACTGTTGTCTTTTATCTTCATGTCGATGGCTGTGTTTTCTCTGGCCAGGCTGACTTCTGTTGTTGCATTTTTTCAATGCTGATTTTTATGAGATGTTTGATCTAACAAACAACATACCCAAAAAACAACAAACTTCTCACCAGGCCCTTGTGGCACATATTTTGCCTCCAATGCGTCCTTCCATGGAATATCTGTAGCAAGGTGAAACTTGAAAACCAGCCACATAGTCCAACATCTGGAGGTAGCGGAAAGTCTGAAAAATATTTGTGGTCACAAAATGCAACAAATATGCCACAAATTACAGAGGGACATTAGTATTAGGTAACCATTTCTTTGAAACAGAAACAAAATCTAATTTAAAGATCATACAATGCAAAAGATAAAGGGAGTTTAGATTTAGCATCAAAGTAATTGAAGTCCCTTTCTCACTCAAACTTTTCTCAATTACAATTGGTAAATCTTGCTATGTCCAGAAACTGGTCAAAGTTTAAAACCCACCATGCTACCAGTTTGGACAGCAGATAAGGTAAAGGTGAAATCTAATATTTTCTATTACCGTGCGGCAGTCCACATTGAATTCTGAGTGTATGGACTTTACAATTAAACAAAGCATGGAAAAGTAGCAAAAGGATATGTAGGTAGCCAACATTATATATATACAATGCAGAGGAAGAAAAAAGTCGATAGTGGACAAGTGACAGCTTCCCAATTTGAAAAGCTAGTAGCACTAATAATATTGTGTATGACTCAAACATATGTCTTTATAGGTCTATTGTATGACTGAAAATTTCAGAAGATCATTTTCAAGATCTTTGAAATGCAGAACATTTAAATAATAACCAAGGGCACTTAATGCTCCTTTACTTTAATAGGTGTACATTAACCGTTAACCATCAGGCTGTGATCCTGCCATTCACACATTTTTTTTCCCTGATTGTATTCCATTTTAAACAGGCGGCGTAGAACAGGAACGACGAGCGTGAGGATTTAGGGCTGCATGGCTAGGGCAGTTGCCATGAACTGTGCAGGTTTGGATGCTAATTTCTGCCTCGGAGAGAAAAAAATTCTATCACCTTATTGTGGACTAGAACTCATGTCTGCCATATAAAAGCCCTGCATTTTAACTACTTAACCTTCCGCATGGGTTCCTAAGTCCCTTGTAGGGAAACAAGAATACACCTACTGCCTCCCTAATAAGTATGTTGTAAAAGTTGACTAATTGGGGGTTTCCTTTAAAGTAAATGTGCATTTGCCTGAGAGGCAAGGAACAAACAGTCTGCATACAAATAGGTCAAGATTGGTAAAATGGAAACGCACGCAGCATTCAGGTTTTGGAACAAGACTAAGACTAGAAGTGGATGAATAACCAGAATTGTTCACCAGAGTTTACAGCTGGTAAACATGAACAAGTGCTGCTTAACTTGCTGCTAGGCTGAACCTGCTAGCTTACTTACTTACTTAGTCGCTCCTCTTCTACCTTGGGGTGTAGAGGTTTGCCAGAGAGATCGCCAGACGTCTCTATCAGCAGTTTTCTTTCTGGCTTTGTTCCATTCCAGTCCTCTGTCAGTCAGGGACTGTCGGATGTTGTCTTCCCAGCGCACCCTGGGTCGTCCCGGAGGTCTGGTTCCCTGGTTCTTAGCCTCCCATGCTTGCCATGGTGGCCGATTTTCTCCCATTCTGCACACATGTCCAAACCATCGTAACTGTGACTGATCCACTCGGGTTAGTAAGGGCTGGGTATCAAGATCTTGACGTATTGTCTGATTGCGGACTTTGTCCCTTCTTGTCACTTGGACCACCTTTCTCAGGTATCTCATTTCCGAGGCCTGCAGCTGGCTTCTGTGAGCTGTTGTCATTGCCCATGACTCACACCCATAGGTCAGGACTGGTACATAGGTAGAGCGGTAAACAGCCATTTTCGTTCTCTTGCCAATTTCTCTTTTGCTAAGAAACCCTCGGTTTATGGCCTGGAAGAGTCTCCCAGCAGCTGCTTTTCGTGTAGCCAGCTCAGTCTTAATGCCTCCATTTTGGTCTGAACCTGCTAGCAATAGACTAAATGTTCTTCATGAAGGTTCTGAGGCTCCTGTTTGAAGGAAATAGAATACATTCACAGTCCCTTAACAAGCATATTATAAAAGGTGACTAATCAAGAGTTTGCTGGAGATGGATGTGGTGGGCCAAATGGTGAGATATAGCAGCCTCGCTGCATACAATGTACTATAAAGTGTGCTTCAAAAGTCGTGCTCTCACATTTAGCAAAGATCTCAAAAACTTCTGTACGAATGAACATGAATTTTTGCATGTGGCCTTAGATTTCCCATGTCCTGACGATTCTGTAATTTACAATTGCACAGGTTTTGTTGCTTTCTCAAAGCTAGCAATTTCTCTGATCTTTCTTTGACTAATAATTTGAGTACCCATTAAAAAAATAGAATATACAGTAACTGACATAAGCGTGGAAATTGTTTGGAAATCAGTTCACATGTGCAGCATGGAAATTATTTTTATAGCTATTTCTGCATACAATGAAATTTTTTGTTCCTCTAATTCACAGAAGGTCAGTACTGGAGATGACCACCTGAGAGTGAAATGCTTTTGAAACGCGTGCAATATAAGTTTTAAAAAGCTCCCATTTCTCAATTATTGTAACCATGCTGACTGCTTTGAATTCTTATATGGACAAGATTATTAACAGTTTACACTGAAAGGTTACTGAGCACAGATTTTTAAAGTTGTCCATGACTTTTGGAACAAACTATAACTATCCCTTTAAGGCTGAGAGCAGGTGAAGAAGAGTAAAAAGGTAAATGTTACAAACAACATAAATACTGTATTACGCGCACTGACTTCCCTGCTTTTGGACCGCTCTAACAAACCTTTGCTGCCCCAAAATAATTCTAAAAACTTATTTCTTATAAAGGAAAGGCAAAACAATGTACTCAAATTTATGCTTCTTCTTCTTCTTTGTTCACTCTGTTGTGTTGTGGCTTACAGCTAGGCTGTGATATCTGCACCTTTCAGTCCAACACATCCAGTTTCAACAAAGTCCTAATCAGTCACCTATAACAACATGCTTGTTTGAAGACAGTGTTTCTACTCTGTCTTTTTCACAAAAAATGGCGCTGTGGAATCCAGTGAATGCTATCTTCCCCCTCCCCACCCCCTTATTATTGTTTTAAATGAACACTACTGAACACTGGTAGTATTTCAAACAGAGATCATATTTAAATAATGCGGATACAAACAATACATTGCACAATTTATTGCCAGGCATATTTCACTGTATCTCATCAGGTTCTTCTTCTTCTTCGCGTTCACCAGCTGTACACTCTGGCGGAAAGTTCTGGTTGCTCGTCCACTGCTGAACTGCAGTCCTGCTCCAGAACCTGAGTGTTGAGTGTCCATCAGTTTTATAGATCTCATTCTCTTGAATACAGACTGTTGGTTCCTTGCCTCTCCGGCAGATGCACTCCGACTTCAAAGGAAGCTCCCCAATTAGTCGACTCTTACGACATGCTTTTGGGGAGGCAGTGGGTCTATTCTTGTTTTCCCCACAATGGGGCCCCTGAACCCACACGGGGGTAAATTCAACTGAAAAGCGAATAGTTTCTTCCAAAAAATTGCGTCTGTTTCATGGCCACCGGAAGCTCACCGTAGTCACGTGACTTACAAGGGCAACTTCAAATTTACAATAAATTCTGTCTGTTTACAAAGGAGGGGGTAGTTGATTTTTATTGTTAACGCTTAGGCAATTCTCAAAAGTCTCCTGTTCGGAGTGTGGTAAACCACACGGAAAGCACTGTCTGTGTCAATTATGTGGTCATATATGAGATCATATTAGAAATTATTGTCATCTTCTTACACATGCAAACACACAACAGTTTCCAAATATTTATGTATTTAATCGTTTATAATTATTTTCAAATAACTTGTGTTTGTTTCAAGTCTTTATAGATTAATATTAGAAAAATACTTCTAAAGCCCATTATCGTACACACAATGTTTATATGAAGAGGAAGTACTGAACATACGTGCTCCTTGAGAAGTTTCATTTGATGTTTTGTTCTGCAGTAAGGATTTGTACGGTGTGGATCGACTTTGAGCAAAGCCTCATACGTTTCATCATATTTTCTGTGTTCCCGGAAACTCTCTACAATCTTCTTCAGTTCACCTTGATTGTTTAGCGGTTTAAACCTGTGAGATGAAAAACGACAATTCTCATTAAAACTATATAAGAACATTTTAGTGCTGGGGAGCGGCTAGCCGAAGGATTAGAGTGCTGGGCACTCAGGCGGGAGACCCAGGTTCGATTCCTCTGTAAGGCTGGGGATTTTTTCTGTCAGGGGGCAAAATAAAATTCTCACCTGCACAGTTGTCGTGACAGCACTAGAAACGCAGCCTTAAATCCTCAGGCTCAAAGGACCCCCCTGCCTACACCGCAGAAGTGGTATACAAAGGAAGTGATTGGCAGTTGTTGTTTTTTACATTTAAGTGCAGGAAAATAAAAAAAGTCCCCCCCCCCCCGCCTTCCCGTACCACAAAGAATACAGTGTGTAGCGGTACCACGAAGAATATAGTGTGAAGCTAAACACAGAGAATGTAGTGTGTAAAAGGCACCACAAAGAATATAGTGTGAAGCGGTACCACAGAGAATGTTGTGTAGCGTACCACAGAGAATGTAGTGTAGCGGTACCACAGAGAATGTAATGTGTAGCGGTACCACAGAGAATGTAATGTGTAGCGGTACCACAGAGAATGTAGTGTGTAGCGGTACCACAGAGAATGTAGTGTGTATCGGTACCACAGAGAATGTAGTGTGTAGCGGTACCACAGAGAATGTAGTGTGTAGCGGTACCACAGAGAATTTAGTGTGTAGCAGTACCACAGAGAATGTAGTGTGTAGCGGTACCACAGAGAATGTAGTGTGTAGCGGTACCACAGAGAATGTAGTGTGTAGCGGTACCACAGAGAATGTAGTGTGAAGCGGTACCACAGAGAATGTAGTGTGTAGCGGTACCACAGAGAATGTAATCTATAGCGGTACAACAGAGAATGTAGTGTGAAGCGGTACCACAGAGAATATAGTGTGTAACGGTACCACAGAGAATGTAGTGTGTAGCGGTACCACAGAGAATGTAGTGTGTAGCGGTACCACAGAGAATGTAGTGTGTAGCGGTACCACAGAGAATGTAGTGTGTAGCGGTACCACAGAGAATGTAGTGTGTAGCAGTACAACAGAGAATGTAGTGTGTAGCGGTACCACAGAGAATGTAGTGTGTAGCGGTACAACAGAGAATGTAGTGTATAGCGGTACCACAGAGAATGTAGTGTGTAGCGGTACCACAGAGAATGTAGTGTAGCGGTACCACAGAGAATGTAGTGTGTAGCGGTACCACAGTGAATGTAGTGTGTAGCGGTACCACAGAGAATGTAGTGTAGCGGTACCACAGAGAATGCAGTGTAGCGGCACCACAGAGAATGTAGTGTGTAGCGGTACCACAGAGAATGTAATCTATAGCGGTACAACAGAGAATGTATACTGTGTAGTAGAATAAAAGAGAATGTATACTGTGCAGCAATATCATAGACAATGTATACTGTGCAGCAATATCATAGACAATGTATACTGTGCAGCAATATCATAGACAATGTATACTGTGCAGCAGTATCACAAATATATATACTGTGCAGCAGTACCACAGATAATGTATAGTGTGCAGCAGTACCACAGAGAATGTACAGAGTGCAGCTGCACCAAAAAGACTGATCAGTGACAATGATTGTAATCAAGAGAACAAAAATAAATGAAAATTAACCAACCTGGTATTCATTTTGTGGGTCATGAAACCCAAATATGGATCAAGAACCATGGCTGTACATAAATCATCAAGTTCACATAGTTCTGTGGCTGTCATGCCAGTTGACGGCACAAATCTGGGCCCGCCCATTGCTGTCATCTTGAATGAAAACAGAAACGGGTGATACAAAAAGCTGTGTCAATAGAGAAACTTTTTCAACATTCTGCTTTCTTCTAAATATAATGAATGCAGAGCAAGGGAAAGAAAGCTCCCAATTAGTCAACTCTTACGACATGCTTTTGGGAAGGCAGTGGGTCTGTTCTTGTTTTCCCCACTATTGGGAACCAGAACCCATACAGGGAATTGGAGGGAACGAAGAAGAAGAAGAAGATTCTTCAGCATTTGCCTTTAAATGGGCAGTTGATGTTGTACTGTGGTTGACAAATAGGCTATGAGACCTGTGCCTTTTGATGCAACAGATACGATTTCAGCAAATCCCTCATTCGCTGCCTTTCACAACATGCTTATTAGGGGTGGGACTGGGTGGGTGGGGAATTGGAACAGTCTATTCTTACATATCATGACCTTACCAGTTATGAGATTTAGAGTAAGCAGAAAGGAAAACTATACTATCTTGTTAACACACCAGCACCTACCTATTATGGCATTTAAAGTAGCAAGTAAAGAGATCTATACTACCTGGTTAATAAGCCAGTATCTACCAAGTATTAGATTTAGAGTATTCAGAAAGAAGGGCTACAATCTGGGTTACTTCCTGGTGGTACGCAGTACTGGAACCTTTTTAAAGTTATTTTTAGTACTACTTTAAACTTTAACAGACACTGAGAGTACCAGTACCTTTTATAGACATTTTGTGGTGTGTATCGGCACTTCTTTTGTTAGAAAAAAGCTCTGGCTGCAATATATTATTATTAACAGCCAGTATCTAGTTGTCATAACATTAACGCACACATGAGAACTATACCTAACTACACTATCTGGTTAATATGCCAGTTTTGACATTAATAGTAACCAGAAAGGAGAGTTATACTGTCTGGTTAATATGCCAGTTTTGACATTTAGCGTAACCAGAAAGGAGAGCTATACTGTCTGGTTAATATGCCAGTTTTGACATTTAGTGTAACCATAAAGGATAACTATACTATCTGGTTAATATGCAAGAATCTACCAGCAGAGTAACCAGAAAGGAGAACTATACTATCTGGTTAATATGTGTTTTTTTTTTACAGTTATGATTATAACACTTAGAGTAACCAGAAAAGATAATAAATATTTTTGCACTATCTACTATCTCTGGTTACAACTAGTACTATTACTATTAGTATTATTACGCCAGTATCTTCTATTTGAGTAACCAGAAAGGAAAACTATACAATTTTTTGGTTAAAACGCCGGCATCTACTATTAGAGTAACTAGCAAGGAGAACTATATTTTATTAAAACGCCACTATCTACCAGTTTTGATATTTAGAGTAACCAGGAGGGCTACACTATCTCTAATACCGCAACCAGGAATGTTTCCCCAATCACCTTTAACCTTTAACCGCTGACCTTACAAGCTATCAGAGGGTAAAAAACAAATTCATATTAACGAGACAAATTTTATTTATTGATATTAATATCTTCCTAAAGACTCACACATTTATCGTGGCTGTCATTTTAAGAATATATCAAGTTTTAAATTATAATTACTTTATAATTTATTACGGCTTTCTGATAATATAATCTTAGAGGCAATATTCCACACGATTAAGTTGATTAACGTTGGCAGCCGGAAGATTTGAATGAATGGGAGCTGTGTGAAATTAAAATAATAAAGGCTAGACAGGGAGGGACCCCGGCTATGTCCTTTTATATAAAAATAATCAATACTCACGCTCAAAATAAACACACTAAGACCATCCCTTTCCTTTACTTTAATATATCTGACTGCTCTTTTACTCAAATATACGTTATTGAGCTTCCAACATTCATGTAAAGACCAAATATTTCCCTACCTTTGTCATTCTTTCAAGTCATAGCCTCGGCTTTGGACCGCATTACCACCAAAAACAAATAAAAACTACAGCCCCAAAACTGAGACTAGATTCGCAGTGTTTCCAGACTGTTATTCTGATTGACGCACTCCAAATGAATAATTCATGAAACTGAAACTTTTGTGCACTAAAGAATGTGGTAGTAGAAACATGAACCGTGCTGTATTCTCAGTAATAATATGTGCTTGTGTTGCGGAGTAATACATAGTACTGCTTCCATGCAGGTCGGCGTAATGCTTGTCTAATGGTTACTCTTATTTAGTCAAATATCACGAATTGATATTTGTTACAATAGAACGGACAATGTATAACTTTCTAGGCAAAGTAAAAGCTGCTCAGTCTGCCACAAACACATAACAATGAGTATCTATCTGTGTACGTCGTACTGACCAAGTATACGTACTAATAACAGCTAATCACTATCATCATCATCATCATAAACCACTTCTGCCGTTGAGCGACGTGGGGAGGAATAATTTGCGTTCCAGTGCACGTTGGCTGCCACTGGCTATTGTCATGCCGTAAAGGCGTAGAGTGTTTTTAATGTTGTCGATCCATGTTTTCCGCGGCCGTCCTCTTGCTCTTGTAGTTGGTCTTCTGAAATGTAGTGCTTGTGATGGTATTTGATCTTGCTGCATTCTAACGAGATGGCTAAACCACTTGATCTGCTGTTTCTCGATGAATCTAGTACAAGGTGTCGTTCCCACAATTTGCCTGATCTTTTCATTATTCACTCGATCTGGTATGGCTAGGTTGGCTGCTTTTCTCAGGCACCTCATCTCGCAGGTGGTAATTTTGCGTATATGGGCTTTAGATAGTGTCCATGTTTGGCACTGGTAGCTTAATGTTGGAATAAATATGCTATTAATAATCTGTCTCTTTGCACTCATAGTTATGCTTGGATGTCTTAATAATGGTGACAATTGGTATATAAGTGCACTTGCTTTCTGACATCTGGTTTCTATTTCTCTGTCAATTCTACCATCTTCTGTGATCATACTTTCCTAGATATTTAAACTCCCTAACTTGATATATATATATCACTATAATAGTGGTATATGATAAAATGCAGTCATTATGCTCCTCATTTCACATCCCACTTATTTTATTCGCTCGTTGGGTTGGTTTAGCAGTCTGCTGAGTAAGAATCACCAACAGTATATTTGGCTATTCGCACAGGCATTTGTGTTTAGAAAGGTTAAAAATAGTATAATACACCCAGTGCCGGATTTAGACTTGGGGTGCAATGAGCCTACCATTTTAAATTGAGTGAATTGTTACCCAACTAGGACATCACACTGAGCGATAAACACCCAGTGACACAAAGTGCCACCTTTGGATGAGGGTCACCCGTGGAGAGGTCACAGAAACCCCGTTCAACCGTTAGGTTACATTAGGGCCCCGGCAACAGGGTATGGCTTCGAAATAATGAAGTTATGCTTAGTGATTCATTGTCTGTTCTCCAAGCACTATCCAGCAAAAAACAAGACAAACTAATTGCTGATCTAAGGACCAACATTGGCTTACTCTCCAAGGAAGCAGAACTGGTCTTGCAGTGGATACCAGCCACTGTGGTATTCAAGGAAATGAGAGAGCAGATGAGTTGGCAAAAGCTGAGTAATCTTCCTCAACCTCATCCACCACACAGCTACAAGGAAACCAAAACAGCGTTAAAGCAGTCTTTCAAGCGGGAGTGGAGAAGGCAGAATGGAGATTACAGACCAGAGAGTGACAGCATAAACAAACTAAACAGGAAAGAACAAACATCAATTTTGGATGGACACTGTGGCTTCGAGCACAGTTGTACAGGATAGGCATAAAATAATCTGCTGCCTGTGATTGTGGAGTAGAAAGACAAACTCCTGAGCACATACTAAAGTACTGCCCTAACCTCTCCCAGCAAAGACTGTTAATCTGGCCCAAAGGAGCCACATTGCAAGAGAAGCTATGGGGACCGGTGGCGACCTTAAACGCACAATCCTATATTGTGACCCAGACGGGACTCAATGTTTAGCATGACTGATGTCGAACGCAGAAGAAGAAGAAGAAATAATGAAATAGTCGTCCCACATGGGGACGTGAATTATAAAAACAACAACCATTTCAAATTTCACCAACTAATCTCAGAAAACTTTGAAATATGTAAGATAATAAAAGGTCGACGTTGACGCATATCAAGCCAGTTATTTTTTTTTTCCTAATTAGCTTTAACAGGTTAGCATAAATAAATGTCAGAGATAATACACCCAAAATAATATTATTAATCTTCTGCCTTTCTATCCCCCAATGGAGCATAGGCCCTCAACCAACTCACGCCAAGTCGTTATATCCTTGCCATTACATGGAGCTCTCCCCATGTCCTCCCCATCTTTCTAACTTCATTCTCCAGCTCTCCTCTCCATGTGTTTTTTGGCTTTTCTGTATTCCTATGTCCCTGTGGGTTCCAATGCAAAGACATTCTAGTTATTCTGTTCTCCTGTTTTCTCAGTGTGTGTCCTATCCAATGCCAGCGTCTTTTCCCCACCTCTTGGTCCACTGAGGCCTGTTTAGTTCTCGCCCAAAGCTCTACATTAGTTAATTCTATCAAACAATTTAATTTCCTCTATTCAGGCACCAGTTAATGAATGTAATATATTACTAATTGCCTTGGTTGTTCTCCATGTGTCCGCCCCATACAAAAGTACTGATTTGAGATTAGAATTTAAAATGTTTAGTTTAGTATTTCTTTTAATTTCTTTTGACCTCCACAAATTCCCTAGTGCTATGAAAGCTAATCTTGCCTTTTGTATTCTTATTTCAATATCTCTATCAGTTCCTCCGTATTTATCTACATTACTGCCTAAATAGGTGTACGACTCCACGTCTTGGAGTGGGGGGCCATTAAGAGAAACCAAATTACTATTTGCCTGATTTATTCTTATTATCTTTGTCTTTCCTTTATGGATTTTCAGACCAAGCTGCTGGGATCTCGCATCAAGTATATTTAATTTATCTTGCATCTGATTCCGTGAATGGGACAGAAGAGAAATATCATCAGCGAAGTCCAGATCTTCAAGCTGTTTTGTAGGGGTCCATTGAATTCTATTCTTAGTGTTAGCAGTT